ATGTCTATCTACAAATTAGGCATTGCGAGCCTTGTACTGGATCAACGAATAGAAACGCCCGAATCCCCTAACCCAGAGGACCAGTCGGTCCCACGATGACGTCCAGAATAATCTGCTGCGGTTTCCCGATTCCCTGCGCATCTACGGTCTACGGAGCCTTGAAGATTTAGCACTTGGCCGTCAGATTGTTCCATTTGATATCCAGAGCCACACGACCTTGTGGGCCAGGACGTGCACGAGGGCCGAATCTTTGACACAGTAGAGTCCCACGTCACTATACAGGTCACTGTCAGGGTCCAGACGCGTCTCGTAATCATCGAAAATGTCCGACACCGTGACCCCAAGTCTGTGCATTCACAACATAGCACAGATATCAAAAAACTATCACGGTTGAGCATGTCGAGCACGGTGATCACACTATCGCCGCGCCGGATAAACTGGCCCAGGTGGGGGAACAGCTCCTCCTCGACGACCTTTTTGATCTGGATATTGGTGCGGGCGCCTTTGGAGCATGTCGGGTGGGGAGCAAGGGCGGCGAGGTGAATGGTGTAGCCACGCACAAAGCGTTCCAACAGCACGGCGTTCTTCTGGGAGTCTGGTCGGTCCACGTGAGCCCAGATCTCGGGCTCGGAGATATCCAACATACCCATGAGCTGGTACATGTCGACACTCTGGTTGATGCACGGCACCATGTACGAGGCGTGAAGGTTGAAGTCCTTAATGCTAAGGCTCATCTTGTTGAGCGTGCTGTGGGACGTTGCGCTCGACATGCTGCGCATCTCCACGGTCACGGTACCGTTCTTGCGGAAACACATGGGGACATTGTAGGCCATGCGCTCCTGAGATACCAGGACGCGCTCCTTCCCGCGAATAATAAAGTAGCCGCGGATGTCGGTCTCGGACACCGTGGGCAGGTACGAGCACCGGGTGTTGCAGAGCTGCGACCCGACCATGATGGGGAGTTTCATGAATGGGTAGCGACACACCTGGTTGACCTTGGCGCCGTTCTGGATGTAAATGTCCACGTACACCGTGCCCTCGTACGAGATGTCGCGCATCTTGGCCTCGCGGGGGGTGAGGTAGTGTATCTTGCGGTTCTCATCCACAATGGTGGGCCGCTCCACCACAATGTTGGTGAACTGAAAGTCGCAGTTGGCATTATCGTCGGACCGATCCGTGACTCTCAATGCAAGTGGTGTAGTCCTGGATCCCAGACTTCCACTATACGCGGGAGGCGAGCGACGAGCTCAACCTGTAATTATCTACCAACTACCAACTACCAACTATTTACTAGACTACCAACTATACTAGTTACTATACCCACCATGAAGTACCTGGTGTAATCCACGAGATTTGTCACGCACTTGGTCAGGCCCACGAACACGAATCACCAAAGGTCCGGGGGGTAGTAGAGTGGAACAAGCCGGTAGTGTAATGGGGCAGGTACAGTCAGTTACGGTAGGGCAACAATTATAGGTAATCAGGCCGGGCATATTTTGCGCGATTAATTCCGATACAACCATATTGTGCAGCCTGCTACACCGGGTCGTGGCAGTAGTAGTAGTAGTAGTGGTAGTGGTAGTGGTAGTAGTAGTAGCCGCAGTGGTATACTGGGGAGTGGTAGTGGTAGTAGCCGCAGTGGTATACTGGGGAGTGGTTGTGTACGTGTATTGGCCCGTGAGGACCATTGTGGAGATAAACTGGGCGACCAAGGTCAGGAGCAGAAGCGTGTGGGTGGGGCTGTGCTCACACGCTCCACTGTCAACCTTGCCACGCGCGGCAAAGTACTCGGAGAACACATACATGGAGAGGTAGCGGAGC